GCTCGAGTCCCCCTGTTGTTGTCCAGTGAGGCATGAGGGCCATACCCGTCCCGATGTCTTTTTCCTGGAGAGGGGATACTTTTGACATCAACCCCTATGCAGTCAGGCTTGTCCCTCAGGGAAACCAGATAGATATTTTTATCTTTTATTTATATTCCCTTGCAGTGGTTAGCCTCGAAGCCTAAGCAAGAATTCAGATCGCCTGTCAGAGGGGGTTCTGGGTGGCCTCTCTCTGCTTGGTCTAGGGGCAGAAGTCCCCCCTTTTAGGTTGGGTGGAAATGGGTTTTGGAAACACACTGTATAAAGTAACAACCTCATCTTGAGTCTCGTGGTCCTCGATAGCTAAATTATGATAATGTGTCTGAGTAGGTTTTGCTACCAAATTATTTATCTGTTGTATCACAGAGTTAGTCAGCCTATTTGAGGGCCAGGGACCAGCAAAAAAAGCAAAAAGAACCCAAATAATGGTCCCAAGATGGAAGGAAATAGGGTTGACAACCTTGGAGAGGCTGCAAACCAATTCTTGTACCGCATTCATTTGTCTCTTTCTCTCTCTGATTTTTCTCAGGGCCTTCACTACCTATTTCATGCTCTCTTTAACCCTCCTTGCCTTGTCTATGTAAAGGCAACATTCTTCTTTGAGGGCTGTACACAATCAAGAGCTGTACACAGCCTTTTCTCTTGTAATAGAGTAAATCAAGTCCAATAACGATCTTTGCGATTTTAGGAGGTCTCTTCAGACAGCAAAACGAGGGATTTCTTCAGATTAGTGATGTCAATCTCTAGCTGTTTGATGTTCTTGTCAGTGGCCCTTCAAAGGTCTGAGTAGTATAAGTTCGGAGGCCAGCATCTGGATTAGAACTTCTAATAGCAGACATCACAGGTGATTCATTTTTACCTGGAAAGGAAAAAGAAGGGAATTCTCAGGGAGATTTCTCTTCCCTGGATGTAAATTGTTATTCGTCGTATTTATGGTTGGGCCTGGCTTTTTGGGGGTATCTATTTATTTCATTAATCTTTTTGGTAGCCAGTTAGCTGTGCCTTTTGTGGTATCAGACAGGCATATCAGTCCTCAGCCCCGTAAGGGAACTGGGTCTGGGCCATTCCCTTTAAGGGTAAGAGGGTCCTTCCCCATATCTGTGGCAAAGTTTTGTTGGTCTTGGTGGTACCAGAGGCAGTCAGCAGCAGATTAGCCATGAGCTTTCAGCTTTAGAGAGATAAAAGTGAACAAGGCATGATGGAGAGTATTTCAGGGGGACTCCTTCTGAGGGGATACCCTTCTCCCTCTTTTGTTTTCAAAGCCAATTTTTCAGAGTTCTTGTAAAATCAGGCAGAAGCGCCAACAGTCACTCCTTCCACACTCAGAGAGTCATGAAGACCCTATTTAAGGATATATAAATCTATATTAATAATCTTTTGTCAAAGGACTGTTATAGCACCGCCGACAACTAATCAGACTATATAATATATCGATTAGTAATAGCTTCTTCTACTTTTTGTGAGATTACCACTCTTTTGTCAATTAATTGGTGAGGAAAATTAGGGTTTACCTCTCTCTTGAGAATACTGAACAGAGACTTAAATTCTTTTGTGGAGAGCTTAAAATAGGATCTTAGCCAATTAGCAACTCCTAGAAACTTTTGAAATTAATTTAAAATAAGTAAACTCTCTCCCTCTCTCTCTCTCTTTTTTTTTAGACCCTTAATCTGTGTGGCTGTTTTATTGGATATTATATGTATTTACCTTTCAATGTTATCTCCTCTCCCATTCTCCCCCAAAACCCCTTATCCCATACCCCCTCCTTCTAATTTTTGTGAGGGTGTGCTCCAAACATCCTCCCAGTCCCATCTCCCTGCTCTTGAATTCCCACACAGTAGAGGATCCAA